AATCCGGTCCTAACAGGTGTCCCTAAATTGACAAGAGGGCACAACAAGTGAATAAAATTTATAGACAAAACAAAAAACAAACAAGAAATTAATTCTGAAAACAAATTTACATAATAAAATCATAGAAACAAATAACTAACTACTATAGGCACTATCAAATAATAGAATTTTTGTCAGTTCACTCAACGGACAATGAAAAAGGTCCGTTAACCTATGTAATTCGTTAAGTAAATGTCAGAGATCCGCGAATTTCTATACTTACGTGCCCAAAACTAATACTTATAAAGTCCTATCTCCAGTTTATCCATTTATGCATTCAATCCGGTAACAAAATTTGTCTGCCCCGAATGCTCCACACTAGTACACGAAAAGGTATATAGTTTTTTGTCGGCTTAAGTTACCTTATATTAATTAAACTCCTTAAATGTTTTATAAATAGCTACCGTCCCAATTTTTCGTTTATCGACTGCGTGACCTTGGCTTAGATCAAAGGAAGGCCGATAGCCACGAAGGACGCCGGTCAGCCTTGCTTCTGAATTCGTGTTTTGCTGTTACGTGTTTTATTACAAGTCAGTTAGCGCACTGGACTTGGTTTTTGAAATACCGTAGCCCCTATGATTTGCAAAGTAAAAGTATTGTACCAATGCTTTGTCTATTTCACTTCGCCCCCGACTATGGAAATTATAATTGTTAATGGATGCTGTAGGCTCTGGTGCGCTGAACGTAAATTTTGTTTTGAAATGTGAGCACCGCTCCGTGGTTGTTTTTGGAACTAAATGAACGCACGAATATACATTGTTATACGTGTATGTTGTAAGGGAAATTGTTGTTTTCAATTAAAAACCGACATGATCGTTATGGAAAAACTAATAAAGTACAGTAATATTGTTTCCTTCATCTTACCATTACACTTTTTACCTGCTAACTTAGTATCCTAGGATGTATGCTGAAACGGAATGTATTTAATTTTAAAATTGTAATGGTTATGTAGAATGTATAAAATCAAGTACCTAAAAACATTAATATGTCAAATGGAAGACTAGGTAGCTTTATTATGTATAATAAAGTTTTTCTTCTTCTTGTGCTTTTCTAGGATATCAGACATATCTAAGTTTTCTGCTACTAAACGGATGAACTGATTTTGCTACTTTTTTATGTGGATCGGATGTAGGTTACTTTTCTTATTTTAATTTTCATTATCTAATCAATTCTATAGAAAAGGATTTAATTATATAATAAATCATTGTATTCGGTCTAGTTTTAAATTCGATCACTACTTATATTACAATTTTAGTAGCAAAATTACCAACAAAGTATTACAGTAATAAATCATAATTCGCTAAATTAATTTCATAGAAAACTAGACTAATATTTTTGTGCCACGTACATAAATTACAATAAAAATAATGGGCGGTGGTCGTAACATAAAAGAAAATCAAAGCAATCTCGCTAAAATAAGTTGCCGTGACAGAAACATAATTCATTCATCGAAAAAGTATTTTTTCGCATATTTCCTTTTAAATATACGCGTCCTAGTAACTTAAGAATAAATATTAATTAGGGAACAGTGTGGTACTTGTTGTAGCGATCGAAAACTTTAAGACATTTATTTAGAATTACCACAACATGTTTTTCTTGCTTATAATATGAGTTCTATTATTTTGATAAGATACCGACCTTCTTCTACTTCTTTTAGTGCATCTCCATTGCTGGAGGTTGCCCGCCAGTCACTTGAAGCGCCTCATGTTCCGTGCCAGTTGCAACAACTCTTTTTGGCTTTTTCATGATTACTGACTACTAGGGAAAAATATTTAGCAGTGGTTTCCCGTTGCCTTCTGCCCCAAAGGGAAACCGCACTGCTGTTCTGCTTACAGCGGTTCAAACGTTACTAATGAACTTTTACAGTTATTAAATATGGGTTTGTTAGACTAGTAGTTTACTGCCCCGGGCGATTGGAGGTGGCGCCGAGGGGTTTAGTGGGTATGCACAGCAGTAAGTCCCACATAACCCTCCACCACGAGGCAGTCGTGCCGTGGGTACGAGTAACGCGAAAAAAAAGTTTATGCTGTTAGGTTGTTAAATCTATAAGTTTTATTTAATTTCAATGGGTAAATCATACGACAGATAAAATTAGATAATTGCCGTCATGAAATTGTTTTTTTCTTGTTTTAGTGTTGTGGTTAATTTCGACTGATAAAAGTATACAAAGCTTATTACCTACTTGCCTATCCAATGAATAATGAAACAGACAAAATATATTTTTATCTATTAGGACTTTAAGCTATTTTTCGTAGTGCAAATCGTTCTACGCAATGTACGGGACATACTTACTTAAAAAAATGTAATAATCCTTCAAACAACTAACACTAATATACCTAGATTAAAACTACTGTTTTGCTTTATACTATAAAAATTTTTCCTTTAGGAAACTGCTTTGTTTTTATATACCCTTAAATATCGCTGTAGTAAAGCGCATTAAATCGCTTACAAATACACCACAAATGGTACTTCATTGTACATGCACGGTATGTGTGTCACAATTACCGAGTAAAAATATCGTTTAGTTGTGTTGATGTTTTTATATATATTTTTATAGCACGCTAGCACATGACTTTGCCTGTTATTTATTACAATAAATTTTCTTACTACGCATTTAGATGGTTTCATTCTTTGCCGTCTGAACTTATGAACACAGAATTTTCAAAATCTTTAGAGATTCAACTCAATGTCCTTGAAATACTCCATGCTCGATATTTCGTTTCGATTAAAAAACATCATTATGTATTAATCTAAGGATTGCTAACAGTAACACACACTTTACCATATTCCTAACCTACAAAGTAATAATAATAATTAAAAATTGATCAATAGAAAATTAAAACAAATTTTAAAAGTTTGGTCTCTGTGGCAGTTGTGTTTTAGTTGTTTACTATAATGCTGGCTGCATTTCCTAACTGTTTTATGATGCTTATTCGTTGAGGGAGGAAAGCACCAGCTCTGGGATCAGCGGCACTACTTTAATTAGCGCCTGTGCACTTGAACCCAAGGCCCAAGAGTCTACTCCAAAGGGAACAAAATCAAAGTTTTAGGAAAGACTTATGTTAGAGGCGTTTATTTCCCCCCTGCTCAGCGGCCGCACCAGCTTCTGTGTTTGTAAGGGAGGTGAGACGGGGCTAACGTGTCCTCACAAGTAGCACCCCATACTCCAAGGGATCAAAGAACATCCCATCCGGCCGCTTGCCATCGTCTCTAGCGATGCCATGTACTGGATATGAATAGGATGCTAAGGATTGCTTAGCTCACACTATGTAATAATATTAAATACAAATTATGATAAATACCTACAATCACACAGGAAGACGACTGGTCGAAGACGAATAAGAGAGAGGAAAGAAGGTAATTGGTTAAATCCCTGGACTGACGTATGCTTGGGCATATTTACTTATTTCACGAACGAAATAGATACAAAGGAAAAATATGACTTGTCTAAAGCAAGTGAAAACGTGTTTAACTATACAAGAAATAAAATACGTAAAAAGTAACTTCTAAGAATGATTAATTCATAAAAAAACTTTTTTTGTATTCTCTCTTCATCTCCCCCTGGCTCTCTATGTATGATGTGTGGACTTAGTTTCCGCATTTAGACGCCCATGATTGGTCCGTTGTGCGTAAGGTCCTGGCTAATTAAGCCAGCCTAGCTCCTTACAGAAGCTCAGAAGTTCCCTGAACACTTTGCTTCGCGGAGAAACCTCTCTGCTCCGAGGATATGTTCGTTGGGAAGCCACAGCCACGCATTCCAGGACTATGTGGGTGACTGATTCCTCTGCACAAGTGACTGTCAAGGGCAAATAGATGTTTATTAAGGAGACAGTGACCCGTAATTGTCCCTATAATTATTTTGAGAATAATTCAGATGCTTAGAAGTCGCTTTGTTACTAACGGGGTTACTGCTGGCGTTGCCCTTGTACTTGGGCTTTTGAGGTTGAATAGGACCGACCCCTAGAGTCGAGGGAGAATGAGAGCAGTAAAATATACTTTTTTTAGTAATGATCTTTTACCCAGTGTTATGAAAAACCCGTTATACGCAGACTATATTTGGAATTAGATTGTTAAAGTATCGATCAAAATACATAACAGTTGTATCTATTTTACAAGTTGTATTTCCATTTTAAGACAAAAACTAAAAACAGGTAATTGTTGTTACGAATGGAACGGTTCGTTGGTTCCGTCACCTTGATACAAGCGGGTCACGCGTTTGATTCCTGCACAACGCTATAATTAGTTTTAAGTCTTATTTTTATGTATGGTGAAGAGTTCGTTAATTTAAATGAACTAGCCAATCACAAAAACTGTTGGTTTGAATTGTAAAATTATTTGTTTGAAAGTTCATTCACTCGCCGCGGAGTATATAAAACTGAGAACATTGCTTTCTTTTTCTTTAATTACTATGTTACAGATTATATCACGTAGTACTGCGTATTATTTTTTTGTTGTATGTAATAATTACCGGAATCTCGTGGGACAAAACTAATTTTGTCAAATGCCATTTTCTTTTACCAATAATTACATATTTAATTTTGTTAATAGATATACATAAATAGTTATTGTACAATACTTTTTTAACCTTGTTTTATTTCAATATTAATTATGTGGTATAATTATTGGTGTACAACAAACCCCCGCGCTGGTGCAACTTGTTAACGTGACGCGGGGAGTGTGTGGGTTGGTCCGTGAGGTGCAAAGGTGAGGTGCAAGAGGTGGGTTACCTCTAAAACCACTAAACCCAACAACCCCATCTGCTCGCTTTGTATATATAATATATTACCTGTCTTATCTTAAAAGCATTAGCATTTTTTGTCTTTTTACCTTTCAAACCATATTTTTTATGACTCCCGAAAACTAATTGAAGCATCCAAATGAACTACAAATATTTATTTAAAATTATAAAAAAAGTAATTGTATTTTTATATAATTAATTTCACCTTTGTTACAGATAAACAATGGCATTACAACTGAAGTACAGTGACGAGCACGGTATTCTACGCATCGACATGTCACCCGTCCCCGAGAAAGAGATCACCGATCCAAAATTCGATTCCATAAACAACCGTTTCGGCCAATACGACCTCTTCGGCGCAAAGTACGAAGAAGGGGGGTCGCTCTTCCGTAGCCGCTACAACAGCTTAGAAGAGGAACTGGCTAATACACCTTACGCGTTCGCGACAGAACGTAGTCTGCACCTCTCAGATCCAGTATTAGATATAACGATAGACGCTAAAGACGATCTATTCGGACCGAAGATCGATAATCCTTTTACGGTGACGCAGTTGATCCATGCGCAGGATCGATTCTTTGATCTATCGGCGAGGGTGAAGGGGGTGGAAGTGAAAAGTGCGCCCAATTCCGCGAGGGTTAAAGTGAGTGGTGATGCCTTCGAGGTTATTAGGGATGTAGACGCTCCAAGTTCTTTACCGTAAGTTATTTGTTTATATTTATTATCATATTTTAATAGGACGAATTTAAAAATGTGTGAAGGGAAATCAATATTTTTGTTTCTTCTAATATATCCAATCGACTTTATTTCTGAAATAGACAAATTGATTCAAATGATGATTTCGGATGCCGGATTAAGTATCGCAAATTTTGAATTTATAAATTTTTCACTTTATTATCAAATTACCCATCCATTACAATAATGGTTACAGTTGTTGAATTTTTCATTTAATTTCTAAAATTGAAAGCGGCAAATAAACTTACTGCAAATTTTCTTAAAATATTCGTCAAAAGTAAAAGTTAATAATTGTTATAACCCACATATTGGTGAATTATTGATGTACAAACCAGTATTTTATCTTTTTTGTGGTAAAATGAGGTCGAAATGAATTCGAAGGAATTAGTAATATAAAGTTAATCAGGCACACTTTTTTGGCTAGATTATAAATTATTGATTATATTTGTTAATACTGTTCATGGGTCATTGCTCCCGAAATTTATATTATAATTACAATTACAAATCTTTAAGCTTTTTGCACAATACTGTGTTATTGCTCGTTTTACATTGTTGTTCCGACAAAAACTGAATAATAAATTTAATTCCATTAAAGTTGTGATGTTTTTCAATTATATCTACTAATTGAATTAAATAATAACTTTATTATCTGAAATACCTTGCCTCAAATAAGTTTCGACTAACTTAGACATTCAATATACAAGCATAAACTATTTATTACATATCTTTTGCATATTCTATTTTATTAGGCTCTGTAGGCAATTGAAAAGTAAATGTTCGTAGTATATAGACGATTATTGTATTATCAGTATAACTATTTCAAATTTTAACAAAACGCACCGTACCGTAACAGGCGAGGTTACATTATATCAAGTGGCAATACTTACAGTGTTCACCTGTTTCTTAATACATTTCATAAGTCATTTTGTGAATATCTTATTACATTTCGTATTGCCTTCGCATTCTATTACACAAAAAAACCGTTACAAAAGCTTTTGTATGACCAATAAGCTCTTTAGTCCTTAATAATAATCTAGTGATACCACCCGTGTATGGATTTCCCCAGATGTTTGCAAAAACAGTTTATTCCGCGCACCACCACTATGTGGAACCAGCTGCCCACTGAAGTATTTCCGAACCAATTCAACTTAGGGTCTTTCAATAAAAGAGCGTTTCAATTATTAAAATGCCGACAACGCACTCGCGGGCCCTCTGGCATTAAGAGTGTCCATCGGCGGCGGTGTCACTTAACATCAGAAGAACCTCGTTTGCCCCCAGTTGTATAAAAAAAAACTTGCACCAATATTTGCAGAAAGAAAAATCAAGTTGACATTAGCATCATTCAGACGCACGTTTTTATTCTAATCACATAACGCGCCATGTATCTAATACATATGAGTCTGTCACTGGTTAGGAAAAAACACCACTAATATTGCGTGCACTTACTCGTATGTCTGGTCAACAAAACTTGTACTTGCTCTTAGGCTAAAATGTAAATCGGCAGGATAAAAGATGGACACTTGAAACCACAAAGTGGACTGGACTTACTGGAAACAGAGAATGACAGAAGAAAAGATGGACAGATGAGCACTACCAAAACTAACCTTAAGTTTTTGGAAATTATGCTAACACAACTAATATACTAATACTTTTACTAAGTAATGCAAACTAAACAATTACCGTATGGATTAATTAATTTCTGGCCAACGCCTCGAAATATGAGAACTTTCCATAAAACACGTGTTCCAAATTCATTAGTGGTAGGTTTAACTGTTGAAATTCGCAAATTAAGTCCTACATACATAATTAATGTTTTACGCACGACAATGGGGGAATTGGGTTACGATAGTGGCGCCATCTTTAATTGCTTGTAATCTGTTTGTGTAATGCGTCCAACGATCCTTTGGAAGGTATTTGTATTGAATTTCCTTTACTACTTGCACTCTGGTTTTGATTCGGCATCACTTTTAATAGGTACTTATACAGATGAAGATTGTTTGCTTGTTAGCATTTGTTGTTTTTGATTTTAAACTTCAATAGGTTTCAAATTTGTGCTTCTAATTAGAATCTAGTTTATATTTATGAATTTGTTTTGTAAAAATCTTAAATTTTGAATTTTTATTCTTAAGTGCATATTAATGTTTAAACATTTGATTATACGAGTTTATCTAGATGTAGTGAGTATATTATCTATCACTATAGTAATAGCCATTTTACAGTTTATTCAGTTTATCCCGATGAAGACTTTTTTTCCTTAATTTTGTTCGCATAAAATAACTTGCTCAAAAGTTTTGATGATAATTTTCATAGCAACGTTGTTTTCTTTATATTCACGTATTGTGGGTGTAAAGCCATATAAATGGTACGACATCTAAAAAGGAAACTTACCTCGAAACATTGACCTAACAATTATTATTGAATGTTGTTTATTTCATATGTAACATGTATACAAAATACTAAAAGAAATCTTTACATGGTGTACTTTACAAAGCAAAACAAATATATATGGTAATGGCCTGAACAATGGTTTTATCAGGTATTCGTATATTTCAATACGATAAGGTTAGTTTTTGACAGCTCAAATACCTACCTTGATTTTGATGTGAATAGTTTCAGCTAGTAGGCGTAGGAATATTATAATGGAAATTAATTATTTCCAATTCGCTTCTACATAAACCGTCAGTACTAATTACTACTCTATTATGTTAACGTTTGAATGTCCTAAGGCTCATCAATGATAATGACAATTAACTTTCTTTCGATTCCATACAAGACCTCACTAGTAGGTACGGTATATGGCAAAGTGAAAAACAAAATAAATAATAGACAAACGACAAAGCAAAAATCAAGTCTTAATGTTATAATACCTACTCCTCTCAAAGTTCCGGAAGATAATAACCACAATAACATCAATTTTATCATAAAACAAATGTAACAAAAACCAAGGCTTCATTAAAAACCTTCAACAAGTTTAAGACTATTATTTCAATTGTTAACGATTTTTTATTCGAACTTCTAAAACCCAGACGAATTTTCTATCCGGTTTTCGGTATTTGACAGAATTTTGTGAAATAGTTTTTTGATTGTTTATTTTTTTACATGTTTTTTATAGCTTGCGAATATATTATTGATTTATTTAAAAAGATAGCAACTCACGTGGGCTTGCTGCTAGGTCTTGCATTATTAAAAGTAATAATTGAAGCACTCCTTAATATGGACAGCATTCGTAACTTACTGAATCAGCCAAAATATAATATTAAGTTATAATATTTAATGATCTCACTTAATACGTATTTATTACGTTTTAGTTTAAACTAAAATGAATCATTTTATAATGTACAAAAATGACAGTGCCGTCGCTACATTTAGGTCGATTAAATCCCGAATTAATGAAGTACCCGTGAAGTTATAGTGGCGCTGCAACTTGCTTACCTACGAGGCTAAAGTCGTGGATATAATTTTAAAGGTTTTTAGGTACCTAGTAAATTTAGTACTCTCAGTACTCTACTGTAAATGAATCGAAGCGTACGTTACAAGGTTGCGTGGCCACCGTTGCGTATCTAAGTGTCCAATAGATCCATTATGACAAGTCATGATTAAAGGTTTTACATAAAGAATACAAGAGAAAAATACAAACCGATTTAAGTCCCGATTCAGGCGTTTCTACCATTTAAACTATATTAAAGAAACTGAAAGTGACTCTATTTTTACATATTATATTTGAAGATGAATTAACGAATTAAGACGAAATGGGTAGTTAAGATAATCTAATTAGGAGATTTCTATTTTTTATTTGCACTGTAACGGAAAAAAAGATCGCAGAATAACAATCCTATTAAAAATCAAACCCATTTCAATCAAGAAATGATTGTAATGGAGATCGCTAATAGCACATGCACGGCCTTGGTTTTATGAAGTGCTATCATTCCGCTTGTACAACTGCTACAATGCGAAATACATAGGCCCAAGACAAGCTTTGTAATTACTATGAAAGTTCCTCAATTGTAATACATTCTTGCGCATAATGAATTGGAAACAAAATATTCGATTCGTAAAAAACGCAGTATTAAAAATACGAAAATCTCGATATTTCTTCTCACGTTTGGCAAGTAGATCATAATAATTAGATTTACATAATAAATATAAACAAAAGAACATTCCGTCCGGATGTTTGTTACGTGTACGCAATTAGTCGAGGTAGAAAGCGTTTATTTTTGAGTTCTTATTAACATTTACGATTAAAGTAGCTTGGGTAGTCAAGGATTCAATTTCTGGTTTAACAATGTTTCTCATTAGTCCAAACTTAACCCTTAGAATTAGAATCAAAATTTATTTATACTGTATTAAAAAATCAGTGGCGCGATGATACACAGAAAGTCCATTGGTGCACAGCCGGGGATCGAACCTACGACATCAAGGACGAGAGTCGCCCGCTGAAGCCACTCGACCAACACTGCTCATTGTTTCTATAGGTAACATGACGTACACTTATGAACGTCAGGTAAAAAAAATAATGTTTCTAAATTTAGATTTACTAAGGGACGTAGACCGGACGAGGAGTACTGGTAAACTCTTATTTTAAATCACCAAGGATTTTTTACAACATGTTTGTAAACCTGCAACTATTATTCAGAGCCTTTAAAGATCAAAACTGAGGTTAAGTAATGATAAAGACTGTAGACAAGCAATATAAATAAGGCATAGAGAATCTAAACCTTTTAAAAACAAATTATGGATAAAGCATCTCTTATACTAATACTAATTACTAGTCTGTGCTCTGTCACTGTCACTCAAATAAAATCTAGCGAAACCAAATATCATAATAGTATGAAATATAGTCTAGTTTGTGCAAGGCACATGTTAAGTACAAATGGAATCTTTCGTTTGATTCTCGGCAAAGAAATCATTAATTTAGGCTGGAAAGCATAAGTTTCCCGTTCCTCACATCAACACCAACTATTCAA